GGTGGCAGTGTGACACAGATCACAGCAATTGAGGACAACCAATCATTGGACTGGAGGGAATTTAAAAAATGGGGGGGGGGATTGGGGGTGGCGTTCTCATTTTGAACACTCGCTGTTTTCCTCCAGCATGCATCCTGGCCAACATGGGGCATCTGAGAGCTGGCCTGCCAGCGACACTGCTCTGTTCTCCAAGCACAGTCTCACTCCTCCTGCGGCAGTCGCTGCCATGTAGTGTTATTACATTAGAAATCCAACAGCAAACCAGAGAACCGCTTATAATGGCTGCAGCATGCAAACCTGAGACCCCCTTATAATGGCTGCAGCATGCAAACCAGAGACCCCCTTATAATGGCTGCAGCATGTAAACCAGAGACCCCCTTATAATGGCTGCAGCATGTAAACCAGAGACCCCCTTATAGTGGCTGCAGTGTGTAAACCAGAGACCCCCTTATAATGGCTGCAGCATGTTAACCAGAGACCCCCTTATAGTGGCTGCAGTGTGTAAACCAGAGACCCCCTTATCATGGCTGCAGCATGTAAACCATAGACCCCCTTATAGTGGCTGCAGCATGTAAACCATAGACCCCCTTATAAGAGCTGCAGCGTGTAAACCAGAGACCCCCTTATAATAGCTGCAGCATGCAAACCAGAGACCCCCTTATAATAGCTGCAGCATGTAAACCAGAGACCCCCTTATAATGGCTGCAGCGTGTAAACCAGAGACCCCCTTATAATAGCTGCAGCATGTAAACCAGAGACCCCCTTATAATAGCTGCAGCATGTAAACCACCAGAGACCCCCTTATAATGGCTGCAGCATGGGGGGCGAAGGGAGGAAGACGGAGGAAAGCGATCAGTGACACCGCCCACCGTACTTCCATCAGCTATTTATAGATGTATCTCATACATTTCAGTCATGTGACTTGTTGATATTTCCTTTCTAGTCATGTGACTGTTGATATTTCATGTTTAGTCATGTGCCTTTTATTTATGTCATCTGTCCTCCTGGTCTGGGGGGGTGACAACAATATCCTTCCCCGTCCTTACTCATCGGGCAGCCTGTGTGTGGGAGAGGTTATCACTTCCCTAATAAAGGAGATGGAAACTCCGCCCCTAAAACCTCAGAGGCGCTCGGACATGTTCATGTTGTATCAAAGGTCACTTTTCAAGCTTTATAAAACTGTAGCTTCCAATGAAGAACTATGGGGTAACCTTTTTTTTTGCCCATATTTCTCTTCAGGGTCACAGGAGGATATATACTAATGTCCAATTGTGACCCACAACTCAGCATATAGCGGGCGATTGCCAGCTATATGCTGAGAGTGCAGAGCCGCGCCACAGCTGGGATGGATGCTGACAATACTGTCTGGATCCACCCCCAGGGCTGATTGACAGCTGGTGCTGGAGGATCGGAGAGAGGGGGATGCCTGTGGGGAGAGATGACTGACAGCCATCGCTGGAGTCCATGTAGACAGGAAGTGGCTGCAAAAGAGACTGCAGGAGATCAGCAGCACTGAGAGGTGACATAGGATAATACAATTCTTTATTTGATGATACATTGTGCGCAGAGGAAACTAAATGTCCTTCGGTTTGCGTGTACGTCTCCAATGTTTTATTTTGCAGGGAACTCCTACAACATCCCGATCTGTCTTTGGCTCCTGGACTCCCACCCCTTCGCCCCCCCGATGTGCTTCCTGAAACCGACCGATACCATGGGCGTCCGGGTCGGCAAGCACATAGACGCTCAGGGAAGGATATACCTGCCGTACCTTCAGAACTGGAGCCATGTAAGAGCGCTGCGTCCTGGGGAGAGTGTGGGGGCTGGTGATATAAATGGCCAGACTGACCAGTAGGGTATAGTAAGGTGATTTCTGATTGGTTGCAGTTAGTTATCGCATTCTGCACCGCAATCGTATGGATCAGTGTACAGGTAATGGAAACCATTGAAATGCTTTTGTTTAGACCGGAGGCCTCCTTTATAAACCGCGTTGTAGGCTGTGGAGGTTGACGGCTCTCCTTCTGCGTCTCCCTGTGTACCGAGCTGCACAATACAGCCGGTCACATGACATGGGTGTGTCACATGACCAGGTCCGTAGCTGGTGTCAGTGAGTCACTGGCCGGACTGGTATTGCAGGTTTGCACTCGGCTTTGAGAAGGAAGAATGAAATGAAAAATCTATAAATAACTTTATTGTAAAAAAAAACCCTAAAATATAATAATATATATCTTATAATTATACAAAATAAATGTGGAGAGGGATAGAGAGAGGTGGGCTGACAATGCTGGTTGTAGAGGTAGCGTTGTCACAGAAAAGTTCCTAGTGGGCCGCACATCAAATCTCCCAGTGGGCCGCACATCATATCTCCCAGTTAGCCGCACATCATATCTCCCAGTGGGCCGCACATCATATCTCCCAGTGAGCCCCACATCATATCTCCCAGTGGGCCGCACATCATATCTCCCAGTGAGCCGCACATCATATCTCCCAGTGGAAAACCCCTTCCAGAATAGGGCCCTTTTGTAGGTAAGGGGTGATGCTGATTGCAGGGGATGAGATTCCTGGCTCATCCAGATGCTTCTCTGGCCGCATTGACGAATCAGCATGTGACGTGCGCTTTCTTTTTAGCCCAAGTCCACGATCCTGGGACTGATCAAAGAGATGGTGTCGAAGTTCGAGGAGGAACTACCGCTGTACTCCCTGACGGCCACTGACGCCGACAAACAGAGGGAGCTGCTGTCCTACATCTCGCAGGTCACTGATGGTAAGAAAGACCACCTCGTGTATGTGGAACCTCACTGGAGGGTTTTTAGTCAAAGCCCAACTCCCTAATCCCAGAGGAAGGGGGGAAAATGTTTGAACCCCAAATTGGTCAACATTGCATAGGTGGCACAACAGGTTCCTAGATCACCATGCAGGCCCCCCCCCCCCCCCCCCGGGGCGCGCTCTGGGGGGGCCCCC